TAAATATTACTGTGGATGAATCCAACAAAATGTTTTTTTTTACAACCTAGGTACATATTGAGTTTGTGAAGCAGCCACAAGCTTCCAGCCAGCTTTTGTTGTTCCTCTTTTGTCTTGTGTGTCAATATTTACTGAGTTTTAAGAAATACAGGATATGCATTGCAACAGAAAACATTAAATGCAGAATGAAAGCTGCATTTGATGCCAAACATGAAACAGGCATTAACAAAAACTGAGGAAAAACACAAAATAACAAAAAATAATTTTGCTTTGGGTGCAAAAATCCTTGCAATGTAAATTCTCACAGTGAAAAAAAATGAACCCAGTCTTAAATGCTGTAGTAAAACAGGAACCATCGCGGCGTATTTGTGCAGCTTGACATTGGCTTTGAAAAAAAAGTTTGTCGATTTAAGAAAACAAATAAATAAAGAAAAAAGAACTGTTGTCTAAATCTCCATTTGGAAATTGTAATTAATATTCACAAAAACAAACAATCATAGCACTTTATCAAAATCTTTAAGTCCTTTGATAATTTTTAGTGGAACCCGTCACTGAGGGAAAGATCAAACAGAGTTTCAAAGTGATCCGCTGAATTTTGATGCACATCTGGAATTATTGGCACTTTTCTGATGTTGGCATTGACCAATGATTGAGAGGTGTTTCTATCAGTTGTCAGTTTGAAATTTGAGGCAGGCTGTGGTCACGTGACTCCTGTTATTCAGACTGTTCAGTGTGGGCTTTATCTCCATCACTGATGGATTTCGAGATGTTTTTGTTTCCATTTGCATTGCATTGTGAATTAAAAAAATAATTAACTGGAATTTATCTTGTAGTCACTGTTATGATGCTGGAAATGTGGCAGCTAATGTGTGCACAGAAAGATCCCACAAATGGCAATGGTATAATTATTGTTTTAATAATGGTCATTATATTGAGGGGAATTCCCCCGTATGCCTTCAAAATAGTCAACATAGAACATTAAACAGTACAGCACAGTACAGGCCCTTCGGTCCACAATATTGTGCCAACCTATTATCCCACTAAGATCAATCTACCCTGCATACCCTACATTTTACTGTCCTCCATGTGCCTATCCAAGAGTCGTTTAAAAATCTCTAAAGTATCTGACTCCACTACCACTGCTGGCAGTGCATTCCACACACCCACTACTCTCTGTGTAAAGAACCTACCTCTGACATCTCCCCTGTACCTTCCACCAATCACCTTAAAATTATGCCCCCTGGTAATAGTCTCCAGGAAAAAGTCTCTAACTATCCACTCTATCTATGCCTCTCATCATCTTGTAAACCTCTATCAAGTCACCTCTCAGCCTTCTTCACTCCAACAGTGCTGTAGAATATATCTCTGACAGGACAGAAAATGAAGAACAGTACAGCACAAGAACAGACCCTCCAACCTATCAAGACTATGTTGACACATGATGCATTTCTAAACTAAAATCCTTCTGCCATTAGGTGGTCTGTATCCCTCTATTCCCTGCTATTCATGCATCTGTCAAGATGCTTCTTCAATGTTGCTGTTGCATCCACCTCCACCACCTCCTGTGGCAGTGCATTCCAGGCAGTTACTACCCTCTGTGTAACATACCTGCCTCTCACATCTCTTTTTAAACTTAACCCTTTTTACTTTAAACATATCAGTTTTACATTTCAACCAGAGGACAGCATCTCCAACAGCAATCTCTTATCTCCAACTGTCCTTCAGTCTGACCCTAACACAGCACTGACCCTCCGACAGTGCGGCACTCCCTCAGCACTGACCCTCCGACAGTGCGGCACTCCCTCAGCACTGACCCCCCGACAGTGCGGCGCTCCTTCAGTCTTCTCGGTATGATTCTAATCCATGTTATATTTTTGACTTTGGATGCCTACAGCTGTGGGTTCAGAGAGAGCAATTCCAGATGACAGCCCATTAAATGCTGAGCAGAGCAACTTAGCATGGGCAATGGAATTGACAACATGCAGGCCATCATGGTCCATTCTGCTGACACTCTGGATGAAATTCAGTCTCAGCGAACAGACAAAGTGGGTTTTGATGAATCTGTTACACACTGCGTAAGCAATGAAAAATTAATTCACATTGGCTTGCTGCAGTTCACCTTGTGCATTCATCTAAAAAGAAATGTTACCAGTCATTGTCATGACCACTTTAGACTGATACTTGAGTGTAGAGAGCAGCTTAATAAGAGATATTGTCTTTAAGACAACAGTGCGAAGTTCAAACAAGAAATACAGTGTGTTCTTAGTCATTTATAACTGTTCAGTTCCAGAGACTGAACTACTTCGGATTATTTTTCAGAAATTTGCAATTTTCATTCAATATTGCATCTGGTCACTGGAAAATCCAATGACATGAAACTGAAATAAAGATTCTACAAAGATGTGTAAGGCCTGTCAATGCTGATAAGAGTAGAAGTTAACATTTTCTAGAGTAACATGTGACACCAAGGGAAGACAACTGATGCAAAGTATGAAATGGGACTAGTCCTCTCCTTGCTCTTTTTTCTGAGGGTTTGGGGATAAAGGTGGTTATGATCCGATAGCCAGGATTATGGTTTCCCTGTTTCCATTATTAGCAATTTCAGTTCATTGCATTATGTGATCACAAGCAACTGGACTGTAATCATATCTTCACTTCGGGTGACAAATTGCTGTTCCTTTCTCAGGATCATTGTATTTTTAAATCAGTATTCAGATGATTTAGCTGAAAGCCAGTTGATCTCCCCTGGAACTGAATAGTGATGCAATTAGATTACCTGAAATCCTTCCCTTTCCTGAAATATTGTATTTTTAACAATACTTTCCTGTCCATCTCTGCAATCATGACAATATCGTTAGTAACATTTCTCTAACATTTGATAAGTGAAACATATTGACCTTCCGAGAAGAGGTTGTGTATTGGAGTAATGCTGGATTTGGTTAAACTAATATTAAGAGATTTGCCCTGGGTGCAGTAAGAATGAATTTCAACACAAGGTGAAAAGTCCTCTTGTTTATTCATGAGCACATTGATGTCAATGGCGTTTTAACATATTTGACACTACATGCCAGATAAACTGAGATAAGGATTTGTGTGAAAATAACGGAAAACAGAATTTCCATGAGCTGCATTGAGATATGATAGAGTGACAATGATCAACAGCAATGTTCCACAACTGGAATTTTTAAAAATAATGAAACACTCCACTTTGCAGAATCACAATCAATCAAACAAGATATAACACAGTGTGGAGCTGGAGGAACACAGCAGGCCAGGCAGCATCAGAGGAGCAGGAAAACTGACGTTTCTGGTCGGGACCCTTCTTCTTACCGTCTCCAAACAAGATATAACCTGCTTTAAGTTTCAGAAGGAAATATTGGGCAGATGACTAAATAGGAACTTCTATAGAGACAATGAGAGGTCAGGAGGAAGAGAGGCTTTTTTTTTCTTGTGGGATGTGGGTATCGCTGGCTGGCCAACATTTATTGCCCGTCCCTAGTTGCACTTAAAAAGGTGGCGGTGAGCTGCCTTCTTGAACCGCTGCAGTCCACCTGTGGGTTGACCCACAATGCCATCAGGGAGGGAATTCCAGGATTTTGACCCAGTGACAGTGAAGAACCGGCAATATATTTCCAAGTCAGGGTGGTGAGTGGCTTGGAGGGGAACTTGCAAGGGATAGTGTTCCCATGTGTCTGCTGCCTTTGTCCTTCCAGATGGAAGTGGTCGTGGGTTTGGAAGGTGCTGTCTGAGGATCTTTGGTGAATCTTACATTTTGTAGATAGTCCACACTGCTGCTACTGAGCTTCAGTGGTGGAGAAGATAGGAGAAAACAAGAGAAAAATGTTGAGTACAGAGCTGGGGAAGGAGCTTGTTCAGAGAAAATTTAGATCAGTGAAATCTGGCAGAGGCAACTAATTCAATTATCCTGATATTTATGACAACGGAAAACCTAAGCAGATGGATTGTTCACATGAAGGATTTAATTACCCAGTTAGAAGTTAGGAGTAAAGAGAAAAATCCCTGTTGATTGATGGAACACAAATAATGCTTTTTAACATTATTGGCTTCTCCCTGGTCCTGGCAATGTTTAGATGAGAACTTGAAAAATCCATTGGGAAGCCTGAAAGTATCTCTGGAGGATTTTAAAAATGATTGATGACCAAAGAGATCTGGGATTTTAACAACATATTAAGCTTTTGATCCCAATCGACTTAACCAATACTTGATTTTATTGTGTTTTTGAAAACACCCTTGATGCTCCTGTTGCTACCATTAAAATAATTCAAAGCTTCCATCACAAAATATTCAACATTGAATGAAATGTATATGAGAAACGTTATGGAATCTGTTGCTATGGAAATGGGAATGCAGAGGAGGAGTTCACATCTGACCTCCTGTGACATTGTGACCTATCTTTACTTATAATTAGAAATGGCTCCCCTGTCCAGTGAATGCTGAAAAGAGGCACGTTGAAATTTCAGTGAATTTCCTTGATAAAGGAAACATTCATTTGCGAGCAGTCATTAGGGAAAATGGTTAATAAACTCTTTCAGAACACATGTAGAGGGCAATCAAATAACAACGTTCTCCTTGTACATCATAATTCAAGCTAAAATAAAACTGGGGTCAGAGTGAGTGCAAGTCACTGTGAGTCGAGAGAGAATTTGCAGCAAGCCAGTCCTTAGTCAAGACAGAGATGGTCCAGAAAATAACTCAATTGAGTTACAATGCATTTAACATGAAAATATTCCTCCAATTAGATATGAAAAGTTGTCCGAGGGATCTAAACTGAAACAAATAAAAATTAAATTAGAAGCAAATATTAGGAAGAGTTTTATTTCAGAAGTGTGGAATATTTGAATAACTTACCAGACTTGTGTTCCTGGGTGAAAGCACCAGGGGCATTCAGGGTGTCTGGATGTTAATATTCAGAGTCTTAGAGCAATGTAATTTGAGGGACTGAAAAGCCTTTTCACATTCTTGTTTCTTCAATTCTTGCTTTCATAGGAACATAAGAAATAGATACAGAAGTAAGCCATTTCAGCCCCTGAAATCTACACTTCTGTTCTGTAAGATGGTCATGAATCTGCCCAGGCCTCATCTGTTCTTTTTTGCCAAACCATCATAGTCTTCAGCTCCCTGATATTTCAGGTAAAATCTATTTGGCTTTTCTTTAAATGTTTTTAGTGATCTAACCTGTACAACTCACTGGGGTGGAGAATTCCAGATTATCACAATGCTCCGGGAGAACAAATTCCTTTGCATCCCAGTTGTAAATGTGTCTACCCTTACTCTGTAACTATAGTCCCCTGTTTGAGACTTTCTTCTCATAGAAACATCTTCTCAATATCTCCCCTAACAAGCCCCCTCAGAATCGTGTATATTTCAATAAGATTACACTTCATTCTTCTAAACTCTACTGAATAAAGGCCTAACCTGTTTAGCCATTTCTGAAAAGGTAATTTGATTATTACGTTGACCATCATTATATCAGTATTGAAGTGCATTAGACTGGTTTTCTCTGTGAAAGAAGTGCAACTATACATTCTAAGTTGTAGAAACAGGGATTTGGAATTCAGTGATCTGAAATGATCTAATAGCTCTTTACCTTTGTCGAAATTATTCTGTAGATTTAACTTCAATAAAAAGGCAGCTAAGTTCTTATGGCCAACCGGCATTTAAAAGAAGTGAATCATTAGTTATTTCATCTCGAATAGGCTTCATTGTCGAGGGCTTCAATTGTTGTTTTGAGAGAGAACCCCACCCTACGTGATTGGCTGAATTTCAGAAGCTATTACGCCTCTCAAATCAGCAACAATTGTATAAATATTCTGAGCGATGCGTAAGGGGTTATTGAAAGATTATCTGTCTTTGGTATGGTTTCTGAGTGGATGTCTGTTTGTTTTTACAATTGATTGACCACTTGGGTATTTGTCAGGATAAATGCTTTGTTTGAGTGACAACTCTAGGAAGTTGTTAGAGATTTGAGAAAAGAAAAGCTTACAGAATTGTTATGATGCAGAAGGAGGCCATTTGGCCCATCGTGCCTGCATCGGTTCTGTTGCCCAGTACCAATCTTCTGCTTTTTTCTCCATTTCCCTGCACACTATTTCTATCCAAATAATCATCCATTTCCCTCTTGAATGCCTTAATTGAAATTGCCTCCACCAGTGCATTCCATGTCCTAATTACTTGCTTCTTGAAAAAGGGTTTTTCTCACATCACTGAATTCATTTGCACATCATTTTAAATCAATGCCACCTTGTTCTTTTTTATTTTATAAGTGGGAACCGCTTCTCCCGATCTAATCTGTCCAGCCATTCTTGATTTTGAAAACTTCTATCAAATTTCCTCTCAGCCTTCTTGTCTCCAAGGAGAACATTCCCAACTTTTTCAGTCATTAAGCTGGTCATCGAGTCTGTCCAGTGGGACAGTTACAGCCTTGGGTGAGAAAGAAACTCCAACCCCAACCCTTCCACAGGAGGTCGAGCCACTTGGCTTCAAGTCACTAGAAACAGTGGCCTTCTTTAGGCAACAGAAAGATGCTAACAGGGAGGTAATGGCATTGTGGTGTTGTGACAGGACGATTAATCCAAAGACCCAGTAACATTTTGGGTATCAGGTTTGAATCCTGCCATGGTAGAACTTGAATTCAATTTAAAAAAAAGGGAACCAAGAGTCTAATGATGATCCTGAAACTACTGTTGATTGTCAGAAAAAAAAAATCTCGTTCACTAATGTCCTTTGTGGAAGGAAATCTGTCATCCTTACCTGGTCTGGCCTCCATGTGACTCCAGACCCACAGCAATATGATTGACTCTTAACTGCCCTCTTGGCAATTAGAGATGGGCAATAAATACTGGACTAGCCAACGACACCCATGTCACCTGGATATAAAAAAGGCAATAGGACTCTTGATTCCACAGCCACTGTTGTCTTACAAACATAACTATAAGAAAACAGCCAACAATCTCTTAACCACTGCTGTGCTGCAAACAAACACAACTCTCGCTGATGTAGATCTGACCTCAGAAGAGAATCATAAAATAAATATTAATCATCCCAAACAGAATAAGTGAATCAGATGGTCACCACTAGCACACAGAATGATCTGGGATGGAGTGATATCGACTAAATGACCTCACTTAGGGTCAGGAGATCCAACACCAGGTAGCAATTCATTCCTTCTGTCTCTTGCATGCTCAATGCTCAACTGCAATCCAGCAGAGTTTGCCAGATTATAATCTGCTTTATTTCTCCCCCTGATATTGTACTAGACATTATAATTGGCAGGAAACATCAAAGTCAAATACCCTGAAACCTGCATTAAACAAGAAAGGGTTCAAAAGTGTGAAAGATTTTAACTTATTCATATCCATTTCAAAGAGTTCTCATTCCTATTACAAAGTTCCTGATGTCTCACCATAGTGAAAACAGGATGAGTAGTTATGGAAAACACAGAAAGAAAACGGGGGAAAGAGGAGGCATGGAGGAATAGCGAGGAGGGGTGTGAAGGGTGAGAGAATGAGCGGGTGAGCTATATACGAATGATATAGAAAGTTGGACTGATATTCCTCAGAAGTTTAGTGGGCATGGCAGCCCTCCCTCTGCACCCCGCCATCCCTGCCCAGTCTGAATCTGCCTTTAGTCAGCCTCCTTAAGGGACAGATTAGAACCATGTCTCGAGAGCTAAATAGAAGGAGGGGAACGGGGTATTGCTGGAGGAGATGACTGGTTTGTGTTGAGGCTCTCTGGAAGTGATTGACTCACATTTCCTGAACCTGAGATGGATGACCAGTTTCACTGTCATTTCTCAGCTGGCATTTGTTTCACAGTCTGAAAAAGAGCTTGTTGTTGATTCGAAGTGTTTCCGAATATATGCCATGCTGATAGTTCCTGCTCATACGTCAGGACATTGTGTACAAGCAGTGACCTGGAAAGTTAGTCAATCATTGTAATGAACGTTCAGAGGTGTGGGGGATGAAATCTAGCCGTTTGGAAATGACAAAACCTCCAACAGACAAAAATGAAACATTTCGGCATTTAAAACAGGGCTCTCCAACCAAAACTCTTACCGTCATGCATAGAAGTCTCCCTCAACCCAATACCTGAGTCACAATCAAATCAGTTTGCTGCTTTTGATGCAAAGATCACGTTTTTTAACCTAATAGTCCCTTGGTCAGCACTTTCCAAACCCTTTCACTCCATGACCCTAACTCAAGGCGTGAAAACAGTCACAAACCCTCAGTGAGAGGCGGAGCAGGAAGATGGGGAGAGAGCAGGCAAAAGGGGGATTGGCAGCTGCTGTCTCAAAGCTTGTGACCCCAAAATTTCAGCTCATGACCCCCACTTTGAGAAGTCCTGACCTATATCCCAGAACTGACCAAACCATCATTTGTTGATTTGTATGTGAAGTAGTTTGATGCCTGCAGTTAAATTGCTCACCCGCTCATGTTGTAATGAATCGCACTCTGAGAAGAAGATGAGAAAATGTTATTATAACAACAGCAATAGCAATGGAAAGGGAGAGTGCTGGATTCTGCCAATTCTCTCCCATGTTGATAGTTAGGAGGAGATCGGTGTACACTGTTGGACCAGTGGCCTGTTTCTGGGTTATAAATACAGTACTGTACTATCTACTACAGTTTGACAACATCTTTATGCTCTCACCTGAACCATGTGGTTAGAAAATAAACCAGTTTGCAAACCTCATTCCTCATTAGAATACACCACAATCTCCATTTTATCTTTCAATTCCTTCTATTGCTGACAATCTCTATTTTTGTTAAAAATTCCATCAGTGAAAATTTTCCCCCCTCACATTATTATGTTCTGTTCTCAGTCTAACCCTCACTGCCTGCTTCTCCCGAAGTGTTCTCTTCCACTCAATAATTATCAATACTCATCTCTCTATGCTAATCTCACTGCTCCTTGTCATTATTTCCATTATTTGTGCTTCTAGTACTGCCTGTTCTTTTTCTCCCTACTCCCACTTCATTTCTGCCTTTATTGGTGACCATTTTATCCCGCTGTGTCACTACTTTCTCTTCCCTCAATGCGTGTTGCGACCTTTCGAGTCCAACGCACTGATTGTGCAGGAATGAGACTTTCACAATACAATGCTAACACCTCCCACTACAGCAAAAACTGGCACCCAGCAACACACTGTTTATTGCTGTAAATCAGTTTTATGTTCAGAAAGGTCAGATATTTGGTTACCAATTAACAGATGTTTACTTTCAAAGCAGCTTTTATTTAAGAAACTTCCTCACTTAAGGTTGGATCATTTAGTATATTCGAGGCTGATACAGACAGCTTTTCAATCATTAAAACAGTTCAGGGTTATGAGAAAAAGGTAGGAAAGTGGAGTTAAGGATTATCAGATCAGCTATGATCTCGTTGAATGGTAGAGCAGACTTGATGGACTGAATAGCCTACTTTTCCACCTTTGACTAATGGTCTTAGGACCCCTCCTGTCATGCAGGTTTAATCAAGCTCATCCAAAATTAGAGACAGTAAAAGTTTTGAATTGAAATTATGAGTACTAAATAGATTTCAAAATACAGGGTCTCAGTTTGAGGAATAGGCAGAGTATATTTTTTGATGGGTACATTTCAAGTAACACTTTCTGATTAAATTTCTGTCTGAGCTATTATGATGCTGGTATTAACCAGTGATTAAATGTCAGAAAATACGGCCTCTTACCATTTGTGGAAAACTTGAAAGAATATGAGAGACACATTATCTCCCTCATTCTCTCACTTAAAGTTCTCATATAAACTCTTAGATTCTGCTTTCATTCAAAGACAGCTCATTAACAAGAAAATAATGTTAATATCTGAGCTGCATAAAGTCAGTTCTATTGTTACTCACCAGAACCTCAATAGTGAATAAGACAGTCTAAACTGGGTGACAAATTAAAGTGAAACTTTACACACAGGTGGTTAAGAAACGTGTATTGGGAACAGTCAAAAGTTCAAAAGTAGATTGTATGCATCAGTGGACTTTGAACTGATAGGAAATGTAGTAAATAAGGAAAGGAGGGTATGATCGAAACAAGGAAAGTAGCAGAGAGAAAAATAGGAGAGAGAAAGGTAAGGAGTAATGGAGAGAATCACAGAAATGTTACAGTGAAGAAGAGGGCCATTCAG